AATTGTCTTTGAAAATTGCAAAAGTGATTGTATGGTTTGAAGCAGTCTCCAAGACAATGGTATAAGCGATTTGATCAGTTTATGATTAGGCTGAAGTACACTAGAAACCAATATAACCGTTGTGTTTATTTTTGCAAGCTACAAGATGGAACCTTCATCTAATTACTTTTATATGTTGATGATATGCTTATAGCATGTCAGAGCAAAGTGGAGATTGAAAGATTGAAGACTCAATTGAGTAATAAATTTGAGATGAAGGACTTGGATTGGGAGAAGCTCATAAGATACCAGGTATGGAGATTGAAAGCGATAGATCAAATGACAAGATTAGTGTGTCAAAAGTAGTATTTGAAGAAGGTACTACATCGTTTTGGGATGAATGACAAATCTAAACCAGTTAGTATAGATCTTGCCTTTCATTTCAAACTTAATGCTTTTATGTCTCCAAGCACTAAAGAGGAGATTCGTTACATGGCTCAAATTCTATATGCGAGCGTTGTTGGTAGTTTGATGTATGCTATGGTGTTACTAAGCTTGATATTTCACAAGCTGTTAGTATTGTGAGTAGATATATACATAATCCTGGAAAAGGATAATGGCAAGCTGTGAAATGGATTCTACAATATATTCTAGGTGTGGTTGGATATGTGGACTCTAATTACGCAGGTGATTTGGACAAGTGTAGGTCCACTACATGTTTTCTATTCACTCTTGCTGGAGGACCAGTGAGTTGGAGGTCGACTTTGCAATCTACGGTTGCTTTGTCTACTACTGAGGTGGAATACATGGCTGTAACAGAGGCTATTAAGGAAGCTATTTGGCTTCAAGGGTTGATTGATGACTTGGGGGTTCCACATGACCATGTGGATGTTCATTGTGACAGTCATAGTGCAATTCATTTAGCAAAGAATCAAGTTCATTATGCACGTACGAAACACAGTGACGTGAGGTTTCATTTTGTTCATGAGATTGTGGATGAGGGAGATAGTCTTCTTCATAAATTTGGAACAGTTGATAATCCTACAGATATGTTGACAAAGCCAGTTGATTTGCTCAAGTTTAAGCATTGCTTAGACTTGATTGGCATTTGTAAAATTTGTTAATTGCCTCTTAGGGGGATTGGGAGGCGACAATTGGGAGTAATATTTCGAATGCTTGGCACAATTTGATCCAAGATGGAGATTGTTAGACTTGTTGGCTCAAATTGAGCATATGGTTATTTACTTGGGCACGTCACCTTGAAGCATTGGCTTGTTGGAGAAGCCATTCTAACTTAAATGTATGGTCTGACTTGTGTAGTATGTTGGACACGCCCTGGGTAGCAACCCAAGGAGGAGAAAAAAGGCCATGTTGTGGGTTATCGAAAAACTGAGAAACTTTGAAACACTTTGAGTAGTCTGCACTTTTAGAGAGATAGAGAGAAATATTGTTGGGGTATTGCTGCTCCTATTTGGAAGAGAAGAAGACATTGGTTGCTGATTGGTGTGAGAACAAACTGTCTCGCAAATTTGTTAAAGGTTCCTTTTGTCATTTGTCTTCTATTCTTAAGTGTGTAAGCTTGGGTATATTTCGGGTTTGGATTTTCTTGGGTGAAAACACTTTGTATTGCGCTAATTTGATTATCGTGATTTGCACCGTCGCCTTCAAACTGGACGTAGGCCTATAAAGCCAAACCATATAAATCTTGGTGTTCTTGTTGTTTGATTTGCTCTCTTTGTTTCTTGCCTATTGTTGCATTTGTTTGCACTCATAGTTTTGCATGTATTGGGTGACGCTTCCGCACAACACTTTCTTCATTCCATAGTGCAAATACCCAACACCCCTTGGACGTATCCCGATTATGAGTAAACCACGTAAATCTCTCGTGTCGCGTGATTGCATGTTTTCGCTTAATCTCTATTTACAAGTTGCAATCCCTAAGCATTAAAACTCGTTCTAAGGGACCACCTGCTTGGTCATGCCAAGTTTATTTGGAAATATTGTCAACCTCGATGTCGAAGAGATCATCTTGTTGTTGAACCAAATTTAGGCATGAACAAATTTCCTTTGGGTTTTCCATTCTTCAACTAAAGCCATAAATTTATCTTCAAGTAGCGATTTAGTTTTTCTTTAAATAATCTCCTTTCCTGATTTCTTGTACTCCACTTGGCAAGGAATCCTTTACTGTGTTGTACAATTTTCACAATTTCCTTTTTCAAATTTATTATGGTTGCCTCAACAGTTTTCCAGGATATGGCAAGAACAGAATCATTGTTTTGTTTTTTGTTTTTTCAATTTTACACATTTCGATGATGTCAATATCATTACTGAAAACCCAAGTAGTTTTGTACCTTGTGGGAAAGGAAATTAGGAAACATAAAACCAAAAAATTAAGAAGACAAAAACTATTACTTCATATTAACATAGCTCTTCAGTAGAGGAGGAAGGCTTTTTTGGACAATGAAAGGGCAGACATGAGCGACGGTGAGAGATCGGCATGGTTAGGTATTAAACTTGTTTGGTATCCTACTGAAGTTGGGAATTCAAATTTTTTTTATTTTTCTTAAAAATAAAGAGTTCTAAAATTCATGTTTTATCCAATCCTTCCAAACCGACCGATTCAATCCAATCTAATCCAATTCAATTTCATTCGGTTTTGATGATTTGGTGGATTGGATTGGATCTGTAATTTTCAAAACTGACATGATTGGATTGGATGACGGATTTGCTTATGAGAATCCAATTAAATCCAATTTGGTTAGTTTTATTCTTATTATGCTCTTCTAGGTATTTGTAGTTGAAAAAGTTATGAATATTTTAAGTCATTTAATGAAGTTATGTTTAATATGTTATATAATCAAAACATTTTTTTAATATAGTTTTTCATTTATATTTTTCATTTACGTTTACTAGTATGTTCGATTAGATTAAACCTAAGAACAAATGTTTAATATTTCATTATTGTCTTTTTTCAGTATCAAAACCGATCATCCAATCCAATCCAATCCAATCCAATCCCATATCAATTGGATAGGATCGGATTTGATTTAAGCATCTAATATGATTGGATCGGATTGAAAAAATTACAATCCAATTTATATTGGATCAGATGCAAATGGACTAAATTGTATTAGTTTCGAACCGATGTAGAACCCTATTATTTGGTGTGCAACTTGAAAACTATTTCCAGAAGAAAAAAAAAAAAAAAAAAAAAGAAGATATATATTTTTTTTTTTTTAATTGGGCCTACCAACAGAAGATTATTGAGTTTTTCTATTTAAACTCCACACTTCTCTTTGTTCACCCCAACTTTTAATTCAAATTTTCACAATTTCTAAGAAAATCCCACCATCTTCCCAAACTACCCTTAAATACACACTGTTGTGTCGATACAGCTGCACCAAAATGGATTCAGTTGCATCCTCAACTTGTGATACTCGCAAGTGCACGAGCCGTTTGGTAGTATAGCATATGTAAGTGCGAGGTCGATCCCACGAGGATTGGTGATTGAATGATCCAATTTAGTTTCCCTACACAAAACAAAAACAAAAACAAAGAACATGAAAGAAGGAAGAAAGAAAATTAGAAAGTAACTCAAGCAAATAAGTTCCCAAGTTCAATTAGATTAATGGATTGATTCTAGCTAAAGTATGATTAAGCCATGGTGTGTGGTCATAACCTTGTGTTCCTAATTCCCTAATTTGATCATTTGTTGTCTAACCTAAAATTAAGCATTAGGAACCCATTAAGCATAGAAGAACAATTTAAACAACCAAGCATGTATCTAATCCCTGTTGTCGAATGTCCATACATACTCTTCCTATTCATAGTTCAATTCGAATTAAAGCATGGTGTATACTCTTAATTCAAACCAAGATAGCTAACATGCAAGCCTAAATGGTGATCAATCATTCAAACTAGCATATTAACTTATAAGCATAATGAATAAGAACATGAACCATAATTGAAACTTGGAAACTAATCAAACACTTCTCTAGAGCTCCCTTCCCTTCTCGCCCTCAAATTCTCTTAGTTTTCCTTTCTAGTTCTCAATTCTAGCTTTCCTTTTTCTTCTTAGTTGTAATTTATTTTTCTTTGTAATGTAAAATTCTTTTCTTAAGTTTTCAAGTTTAATTAGTTTCCAAGTTTCAATTATGGTTTTTGTTCTTATTCATTATGCTTATAAGTTAATATGCTAGTTTGAATGATTGATCACCATTAAGGCTTGCATGTTATGGCAGGGGGCTGTAGCCAAAATGAGTTTGTCTTTAAGCTCTTCTTCCCTTTATCCAAATCAGGCTTTAACATGCATGGATTGCATCATTTCCTATCCAAAGCCATCATTGTTCCCTAAAGCTGAAAGATAAACACAAAAAGGATTAAAAGTACAAGTTTAACTCAAAAACATAACCAAATCATAAGCTAGAAGGGTACAAAATGATATACAATTATGAACCGATCACACACCCATTAGAAAAAATAAAAAGTTTTTATATTTAAACCCCACACTTTTCTTCGTTCACTCCAATACTTAAATTATTAAACAATATTTGTAGTATTTATGAAACAAAGGAAAGAGAATAAGATCATTATAGCCAAGCAATTAACAAGCCTTTCCATTAGCTCCCACGCAGCTTTTAAAGAGGTAGGCTCCTCAACGTTTTACGTCTTTAGAAGAGAAGAATAATCTGGCAATAAGATGTAGAGGAGTTTGTATTTTTCTAAAACTTAATATGAAGAGTGGTGGAATGTGTGTATGGATGTACTAGGGTTAAGTATTTAATTTGATAACCTTTTTTGTCTTTTTACACAATAATAAAACTTAACAGCTTAATGATTTAAGTATTGGGATGAATAGAGAGAAGTGCGAGGTTTACACAGAAAAACTCATATTATTTTGGCTAATTATGTTTTTGACTTTAAAAGTTTTGTATTCAAATAGAATACCAAAAAGGAATCTTAAAGAAAGAATTTTAAAACTCCTTGTGTTTAAGAAAAATAAAAATCTTTGAATCCCTTACTTGAATACAATACCAAACATCCCCTTAATTGTTTTAGGGGCATTAATTTTCTTATATTGAGGCACTAATCAGAAGTCACCGTTGGATTAAATCTAACAGTAGGTGACCATTGTTTTCCCTGGTCACAAAAGGACTAGTTGAAATGATAAACAGAAAAGAACTATAACCCAATTCCAAGTTCAGGTTAACGTCAGTTCTGTTGCCCACTATCAGTTTACAATATTTTGAATAAGTTAAGTTGATAATATAATATAAAATACAATTCCAATATACCGCTTCATTTCCTCTGCATTCTGCAAGACGCTAAATAGCCGTTGTACCTCGTTGGAGCTTCCCCTAATCTCAATTTACTATCTCAACAAAAATGAGAACGTCACTCTGTATAAAGGCTGGTTAAAAAGAACGACAACAAAAATGGCGCAACTCAACATAAATCCTCCCCTGGATCATTAAGTTGTTTAAATGCACTCGACTATCGCTCTGTATTGAAAACATCTTTGGTTGAACTGTCATGCGTACACGGATTGGAAATAATTTACCAGCCACCACTTCTACCTCTCCCACGATGCCCTCCTCTCCCTCTGCCGCCTCTCCCTCCTCCTCTGCCTCCTCTACCTCCCCTGCCTCCTCTCCCTCGACTTCCGAATCCGTTACTATTTTGTTTTAGTCCTAACGATTGAACTCCCCTCCTCTTTCCACGCTGTGCTTCTTCATCCTCCTCGTCCTCTTTGTACTTAGCGGAGCTTCTAGCTCTAAAGGAAATCTCACGTGAACCTCCGGGTCCCAGCTTAACATCACTTGGGATAGCAGAAACCTGCCGATCATCTCTGAGAGCAGCTACCCTCTCGCCCAATGGGAGTAATTCCTCCTTTGCAAATGACTCACGATTTAAGAATGCTTCTGCATGCCGCTCATCCTTGACTTCATACAATCTAATAGGATTTCAATAAACAGATATTTAGTAACTCAGATTTAGAGTTTTAAGCTCCAACAGACATTTCAAGATTTGAATCAAAACTCTATAAATAAATACGCAGAATTACATAGCAACAGTTCACCGGAAAATAGACAAATCAGGTTGGAGTTCAAATCACCAAATCTAGCAAAAGTTGCTCATGTCTGACAGATCCACTAATTGATCAGAGTAAATTATGCTGACCTCCTAAGGTTTTATTCAAAATTCCCAGACGTTTTATTCAAAATTCCCAGACATCCCTTCTGTTTTCAATATTCTATTTTCCGGAATTACACTGACCTCCCCTCTCATAGAGAACATACAATTTTCTTTAATACAGTTCTGTATTGTCTTATGTTCACATTTTTTGTCTTTTAGACTCCTACACTGGTAACTGAGCTCAAAATGTTTATCAGGCAAACCAATAACTTTAATCTTGTTGTCATGGACACTCAGAAAACTTCTACAGATCAACTGATATTTCTACCCCAAAAGCAAACACTTGTATGATCGAAACCCACTCCTGAAGTGAAATTTCCCTCGACACTAAATGTATTGTGAAATCTCCTTATACGGGACAGGATAGTATAACTTCTAAAAATAAGAGGGAGATACTTGAACTACCACAAAAACTCAGGGACATGGAAATAATGTAAGTTGTAACAGATAAATAAACAGGACAATGAGTGTCGAAAAAGGAACCAGAAATCTTCACCTTGGAGTTCGTCCTTTCTTTCTCACTTTACTCTTTTCATGGCCAGGTTCCTCTGATGACAAAGATGTTGCGGAGGCATCAGAATCACTTAAGTTCTGATCTTCATCCTCCATGGCAGGTCTGAAATGTTCATCCACCAACGATGGTTGCTTCTTAGAAGGCATAGGGTGTAAAGCCACATACTCTTGTGAAAACTCATCAATTTGATAATCCTGAACACAAATCACAAAAACGAATCATTATAAAAAAACTGTTCAACCCAAAAAAAAATAAAACATGATTCAGCCCCGACTTCTCATTATTTATTTATTTATTTTCATTTTGTAGGAAACTAATAAGATGTAATAAACAGAAATGGAGCTAATACAGAAAATGACCCCGCAGTCCACTAAACTAAAAAGCAATGAAACAGTTTAAGCAGCGGAAGCCTGAAAAACAATGAGCTAACCAGCAAAACAACCAGCCAGCCAAGCAAGCCATAATGCAACACAACCAAAACAGTCACAGCTGTTTCCTAATTCAGAAGGAAGAAAGAAAAGTCTCTCACTTCAAAAGACGCGGAAGCATAAAGTCAGGCCCACAATCTGGCCATAGTCACATACAAGTAGTCTATTGCCTTCCCTTCTTTACTCCTGAAAATTGAACTGTTCGTTCCCAACCAAAAAACCCAGCAGAATTTCTTTAACACTACAAAACCTTTGTGTTCTTCCCTCCACCAAACCCCTCCATGAATAGTCACAAGAAGAGGAACCACCCAACTCAATCTAGCTACCTAAAGAGCTTATAAAACAGTCTCAACAGTCTCAACGCATAGAACTTGGAAGGAAAAAATGTGATCAGTACTTCGCTTGCACTTTACACATGTTGCACCAATGGCGAATAAGAGACAGATGCAAGCCCTTTTTCCATTGTAGGACTTGCAAGTATTTTAACTCTACCATGGACAACAATCCAAGCAAAAAAAGTTTTACCTAGCAAAGCACTTTAGCCGTCAATATCAGCTATGAAGGGAACTAGAGTTACATGACGGACATACAAGTTATGGATGCATTATGCGACAAGAAACTCCTACCAAAACTGGGGGAAAGTGACATAATGAGGAATCTCCAGTTCATATACCCTCACAAAAAAATGTGGTTGCCGATTGACCATCAAGTCAGCCAATGCATTTTTGCACATTCTGCACTTGGAACAGTGGTCCTCTTATATTTGTTAAATATATTTATACATTTATATTCAAAATATTTTAAGTGTCAAACAGCTTACACATCAATGACTTGAGATTTACTCGGCTGTGAGGTAACAAAATGCCTCACATCCACCATGCCATTGAAAGCATTGGAAGGGATGGGAAGAACACATGGCGAGGTAAGAACAGAAATGAATCAGTCCACTGATGGGTGACCCATTCAACAACCAGAAAGGATGACAGGTTCCATCAATGTCACTTGGGAGTTTCGAGACCCTTAGAATCTTCTGATAATACTCAAGAACATGAAAGTATTGGGGACAAGGATAGGTGTCGGATGGAGATGACTGGCTTCAATAATGGAGGCATTGGGGAAGATGCATTTTTTTCTTTTAAAATCAGACCACCAACAGAAGACATTACTTACACTTAAATGCATAGGCTCTTTATGTTGTAACTAGTAATAAGCTCAACAAACATCCAGCGGATTTCATGCTATAATCACATAAATGAACGAACTCTTTAGAGAAGAGTTGGGTAAAAAGAGGCCATTACCAGGGAAAGGAGACAGAAGGGAGGAAAGGGAGGCAAAGGAGGTGGAAGGGGGAGGGGAGGAGAGGGATGAAGAATTCTTTTGGGTTTATTTCATCTTTTTTTTAATTAAAATTTATAGAAAGGGATGGTGAACTACTTGAACAAATTTTTGGGTGAAATTGTCGCCCTTTTCTTACAGGAGCCAAAGGTTTAGATTTTCATACCTTATTTTCAAACATATTTCCGAATCGCTCGTCCTTGAGAATTTCACTACCAAGTGCCTTCTTTTTCTTTGACAGCTTCTTAGTCTCGTTGCTATCAGCATCTTTAATTTCATTCTCTGCATCTTCATTATCAAGAATACTCTTTGCAAGAGTCCGATTGACCTTGGGCAATTTCCTCTTAATCTGTAGCAAAGAAAAGTACAACATATAAGAGATATAGTAATCAGTCTCAAGAAGATAATCTGACATGACATAAATCTACCACAAACTAAAGTCCATAGCCATATAATTCACTCTACAATCCTGCAATCTCCTAAAGGAGATTCAAAACCACCGAAATTTAACAGTTGAATCCCACTCATATTGCATTGAAATACAAAAGGGTCAGTTCTCTTTAAAATTTATGAGAGCACCTCAAAGCAAAGGAGCATGCTCTACATGGATGGTTAAAATTTTGTACAGGAAAATAACTTAGGGATTAATTCGGATTTAAAAGTATTCAGAGATATCTTTAGGTGCTCCAAGGATAACTAGAGTCGTAAATTCAGATTTTCTGGAAACTGAACCAAAAATAAAACTGAAAAAGGGAGCAGATAAGGGTCAAAATTTGCTCTGGTCGAACAATAATGAGACAATAACTGTATAGCTTCAGTTGAAAGATCCCTCAAATAAGCTTATTTGAGGGACACCCTTGTAGGGCTCAATATATATATATATGAGTATTTTTCATAAAGTGTGTGGATGTTAAGATTGAGAAAAATGAGAGAAGATATGTTTACAATGTATAGGGTGAAGTGGCAGAACACAACTCATGCCTAGTTAAACTATTTTGAGGAGAATACCAAGTTTTCCAACAATTATTCGAAAACCACCCTGCCTCAAAATAAATATATACATATACGCATATGCAAATAATATGGGGAATTGAAGAAACTAGAACATCCAGGCTCACAAATCCTCATTCACTTTATTGCAATTGCCTGGGCCATAACGGAAATTTCTTAAGAGCTGCACGTAGTGATAAATGCAGAGTAATTGAACAAATAAATAATAAATAATGTAGATGAAAATAATTAACCGTAATTCGCTGTGCAAGTTCTTTCTCTAGCTTCTCTCCTTTACGTTGTTGAATGTATTCAGCATAATCAAATGGCTCTGCCAAATCTTTTGCCTGCCAGAATGTAAATACTATCAAATAAAGCAGCAAACTTTGTATAATAATCAGAAGCAATCGAACAAATACCATACTCGAGCACGGAAAACATCATCTTTGACTATGAAGATATTCATCTTTCAAGACAGACAACTTAATAAACACACCCAAGAACTCACTAAATCCTAAAACAGCAAGCCCGAGAACTCACTAAATCCTAAAACGGCCAAAACCATACATTTCAAAAAACAATTATACCAACAAAAAAACCACAAAACAATAGAAACAGATAAGAGTCTTGAAAGGGCGAGAGAAAAGTAATTATAAAATAAAGGTAAAAAGCCTAATACAGATTATTGTTCTCCGCTTTCTGAAACCAATCCAACCATTCTAAACTGGATGATACGGATTATTTTGTTTCACGAAACAGCCATTGCACCCTTCATAAAAATAATTATACATACAAAGGAAGGCAGCCTAACCTTTTTATACAACCGATAATCAATAAAAAACCCATGCATGTAGGCTCTAAGGAGATTGGTCCCAATGAGACCAGTCAACTTCAACCTCTCAAGGTCTTCTTTTGTCAAAAATTTGAAATCATCATAGATGGTTGTCTGTCCACCCTCCTCTAGCTCTTCCTGTAGAAAGAAGTCAAACATTAGCACTATAACTGAAGACCTCACACAAAATGAAACTAAATCCATATACGAAAGAAGTAAATAACATCTGAAAACCCACAGTAAGGTTTTGGAGTGTAGAACACCAATTGGGTGCAGGTCCAAGATCAGGGATGAAATAAGATGGAATCTGACTGCAGTCTAGAGCCAGCATCATTAATCCACTCCCAGGAAATGCAAATATATCATTAATTGTTCCAGCTGTTGGCTCAATGCTGGTCATGCCTTCACCCTGCAACAAAGGGAAAATGCAACATATATTTATTTATAAATACAGAATTCTAATATCCAATCATCAAAGAAAACAATTGTTTTCCAAAAAAAAATTGTCTTCTCAAATATAATGTCTTACCGTGTCAGGATCCCATATTCTAACAATGTGATTATCAGTGGTCATTAACTTTGGCGCCTCAGAATTAAGAGTTTGATGCCACTTAATGTCTAATATCGGGCTGCCATACCTATAAACCAATGACAGTATTCTCAACAACCAGAAAGTTATAAAAGGCAAAACAGACTCCCTCATCGTGCTCAACCAGAAAAACCACATAATAAGAAATTCACATGTAAGTTATAAGGAAGTCGCTCACATGTGATCCTTAACCTGTATAGGATGTGATGAGCGCAAGTCATAAATGAGTACCTGCAAGTTCAATGACACGATTAAAATTATATTTCTATGCACGGAATAGTAAAAGGATGTAGATTCAATCAATAGCAACTAAAATGTAATTGACAGAGCTACATTCTTTTTGAAAGATTGGGCACAGCTCTGATATATTCTTGACAGAGGCTCTATTCAAGACTACAACTGAAGGTGAAAGAAGTGATTGTGCCAAACCTATATTGCACGGATACGGGTACGGGATTCGCGGTACAATATGATACGGTGATACTGCAGCTCTCAAAGAACTTTTGGATAGTTACAATTATATATGTAACATTTCAAATAACAGTAAATGACCATTTATAACTCTGGAACACAAATTGAGACTGTCATCCCTAACAAAGATATCTAAAAACGGAATTTCCAAGAGAAAGTCCCTGTTCATTCAATCTCCAAGCCCTTGAATCAGATCTGTGTAGCCTACATTCACAACATTTTATTGCCCAGAGAGATCCATATATCCTAGTCCTCATCCCTCTATCTTTTCTTCAGTCATAAGTTCATGAGACTATACCCCAAAGGGGTTTTTTTATCACCACATCCTCCAACAAGGCACCCAGTCAATCTCCACAAAATGACCATAAACCTGTAATCTACTGCATCACGAAATGTACCATGTAAATCACCACCTACCACCACCTACCTGATGGTTGATCCCAGTTATCTATTATCTTGATTACCTTTTTTTTCATATTAGATATCTTAAAAAACCTTGTTTCCACCTTCATTAATAATATTGTAGCCAAGGGAAAATCATCCCCCCATCACGTTAAGACCATTTCTATTTGGACAAATGATTACGCACTAAGGTGCCAGTAACAGTGGGACGTAAATACGACAATTAAAATTCCCCCCTCATTGACATAAAGAAGACAATTCACATGACTTCTCCATAAGAGTAAAGTCTGCAAAATTTTTGATAATTTGACAAACAATTTTGATTAGCTCCCAAGTTGGCTGGCAGTTTCATTTTTCACTTCAAAAAGTATTTGTCACCCTTCCATTAGCCACTAGCTTAATTGAGCCTGTCAAGTATCTTAAATTTTGACCCTCTATGTATCCATCATGGAAAACAAGTGGCTGTCTCAAACATTTTTATGCTTGTTAAGTGTAAAATCTAAGCATGCAGATACAGATATACGGTACCTATCAAGTGTATAATCCAAGAGAATTCTCTAAAATTAAACATCAAAAATTGACAAAACTACAATTATTGCATGGTTGACAATAAAAAAATATGGTGCCTAGTTCTGATAACACACATAACTAAAATGAGATCACAGCTATATCAGCAAATTAAAAATATACAAATTACAGATTCTTTTACTAGCAAAAAGAAAAATGACATCATACCTTCCCTGCACTGCTTCCGACAGCCATTAGAAAACCCGTTTTTTCATCAAACTCCAATGCAGTGACCTCCTGCAAATCCAGGAGGCGGCCAGATTAAGGAAAATCGTGTCAGATTAATAGTTGATGAGAAAGGATCATCATTCACAGGAATCCCACATACAACTTTGTTCCCCTGACATTCATCTGTGACTGAACTGATGAACCAGCCAGATCATTCAACCCACTTCTTTTATTTCCATTTTCAAAAAAGATAAGGAACAATTGAGACAATATAAAAAATGAAAGAGGAAAACTGATGCTAAGAAGGTTGAGGCCCTCATTTTCACCGTAACCACAACAAAGCCTTGTGGTTAAACATTGACATTATGTAGTCTAAAAGTCTTGGATTTGCACTAGTTTTGAATTAAACTTTAATTGGAGCAATGTGATTGATAACACTGTCTTTTTGAAATTTTCATGAATATATATATAAAAAAAAAAAGTCTGCTGTTTTCTAGGTGAAATAGAACAAAACTGAAAGATTCTTTTTTTACCATCTAAAACCAAGATACAAAACCAATTCAAACTGATGGTCATTGGTTTGGATTGGTGAGTTCCTTTTTTTTTTTTTTTTGGGGTATAACTCTACAGTTTCAAGTACATCAAAATCAACAAGGTTGGTCAGCGTGATATCTGCCCGAACTTGTAAAACCATACTACCAAACATACCCATAGTTACATCTTTCAAAAGCATAGGAAACAAATTGGCATTTGTGTCATGGCCCCACCATGTTACAACCACAATAGACACATGCCATAATTCTTCCACACATCTTAATCCATGACATTGAGTACATTGTGGCAACCAATTAGACTTCTTCCTGTCTTCATTAACGAATATTTACTCAAAACAAATAGATCAAAGGACTGTTACCTGGTCAATGTCACCAGCTGGTGCCACAGCATTAATCCTACCAACCGAGGATTTCGTCCTCAAGTCAAAACATTCCACAGCACCATCCTCACCACCACAAGCAACTAGACCGTGAAGCTTGCTGAAATTTAAAAGCAAATCTCCTTATGCTTAGATAATTAACCAAAAATTACCAAATATAATGAAATCCTACATAATCTGACAACTAAAGAAGCAAAAGAAACTAAACTACTAAAAAAAGATCAACAAGCAACCTCCGAGAAACTACATTTAGTGCCGCTGATTGTGTGCTCAGCGAAGAGAGAAACCGCCCCTGCAAACAAGTCAAAATCATTATCAACATACCTATGAATTAAAGGAGATTAAATAGAAAATTCCAGTTAAGCAATAAAACCTGTTCCAGATTAATCCTGTACAATTCTGGGGAAGAGGCAGCACAAAGCAAGTCACAAGACCAGCAATCGTACACAATGTCCCTTCCCATTCTGTATGCACAAGTTCAATAAACTCATTGCAGAAAGAATATCAAACTTATTCAAGCTACAACCCATGCATTGTACAAGTATTAATCTAAATTACAAACTAGATAAAATTGAATCTAAATTACACAAGTTATACAATCTTGACTATCTTTTAAATTATAAAGATAATTATAATTGTGAATAAATTATGAAGTTATTTTATCTTTTTATGTAACAGAAATAAATTTTCTAAATGTAAGGATAAAAGTTTAATTCATACATTGCAAAAGAGGGCTAAAACAAAAGCGACTCGGGTAAATGCTAGATGTACTAAACTTTAGTTCTAAAGTAATGTAGTTGCTCAAGTATTTCATTACTGTATTGGTGAAATGTAGTTTTAGAAAACAATTTAATGAAAACTCTTAACATGGGTAACATTAAAAGGGGAAAAATATGATTTGATTAGAGAGAGAGAGGGTCAACAAATACTCAAGAAAAAATAGAAAACAGAATTCAGAAAAGAGATATAGTGCCACTCCAGGTTATGTATTTAGTTACGTACCTTTCCACATTTCTAAGAGGTTGGTGGTTTTTTAATGGGTTGGTGATTCTATCAACTCATTCAATGATAGAGATGGTGGAAACATGACGTCCCAAAAGGGAGAAGATTCTGAATTATTGCGGGCCCATTTGTAAATAATAAATGTGTGAAAACAACATCATTTCATATTTTTATTGATACAATAAAGGGCGCTGCCATTTTGTGGTGTATTATAGGTTGAACGATTCAAAAATACATTTACACACGCAGGCAAGCAGATGTAAACTCCCCTTTGATATATATATCTACACACACATGCATAAAGTTACTCATTCTGTATCCAATTTTCCCTCTTGTTTTGTCTTTGTTTTTATAGGAAAATGAATCCAATACAACAACCGAAGGCATTCAGAAACAACAGTGTTCCAATCTAGGAAAAAAATAACAGAAAATAAGCTCTCCTAAAACTCCGATGACACGAATACCCAAAGAGATGCCCAAAAACAAATCCTCTCCAACAAATAAACCGCCACATCGCCCCTCACATCCTCAAATATCCGTCTGTATACTTTCCAACCAAACAACCCAATATTACAAAACAGCCAAAAGGAACAGAAATAGAAAAGAGTAACCACAGTACATAATGAAACATAGAGTTCAAAATTTAATAAAGCAACCACATGGTTTAAACACTATTTCCATTCATGAGCCATTAACATAAAAGTATAAAGATTAACCTTGGAATTCGCACACTGTAATGTTTTCCATATTTTGCATGTATATAAACAGAACGATCAGCACATAAAAACGCAAGCTTTGAATAATCACCAGCCAAAACCTGAATGTGTAATAAAAAGTTGAGTGAGTAATATTTTAAGTTCCATGAGAACATATTGAAAATACAGCATAACATTGGCACCTTTAAGGAGCAAACATGAAATGATGATATCCAAATTATAATATTGGCATTTAAGTTATAAACCAACTACAAAACTTGAACAAATTTTGGATTTTGGAAGGAGAAAACAGTACCATTCAGAAGGAAACTATACTGGAACAAGGGGGGAAAAAAGGGTGTGCAATTGCATTTTTCTTTGCTAATTAATAAAAATAAAACTCTTGTAAGATTTATTAACTATTAAACTTTTTTTTCGACTTCATCACATTCCTTAGAAATGCTCTTATCCTTACTTTACAAGAAAGACTAACTGAAATTGCAAGCGATAAGGGTAAGTGAAAAAGAAAAAAAAGAAGTAATTGCAAGCAAGAGCGTGCATTAACGATTGTAACCGAAAATTCAAAAATATGAAAATTATTTAGAGAGGAGCAACTTCACAGATAAAATACTGAAAAACCCGGCAGACGCTGAACACAAATCAGCCATGGACCATCAATAAATATTTCAAATATCATGTTACATCAGAAATGAATTGAAATGGTGAAACTGAACTACCTCAAAATCAATTATCTCTGAATCCAAGTGCCTTTCAAACTTGAGTGAAAGTTCCCTCAGCTCATAAACTTTGATTTGCGGTGGGTAAATACCTGAATTTCAATAGTAAAAATCACAGTGGGTACAAGTTCAAATGTTTTTACTCTATACGAGTACACCCATGACACACAAATAGACATTTTATGTAGAATTCCCTTTTTATTGTGAAAATAAAATTACCATACCACACACAACATAAAGTAAAGCTTAAAGGCACCTGCTGCAATTAGGAACTCCCCGTCAGGAGTTGCCTTGATTTTAGTAGTTGCAGTTTCAAATCTCAGGTCCTGGATCAAGTCCACCCTTTGCATATAATCTGACAAATAAACAATGAAGACAGACCTCCCATTAGATGAAATTGATGCCAAAAAGTTTTGTGTCAGCTTGAAATGATTTTGAAAACATATTTCCACCTCAGACTAACTCTTAAATTATCAGTCATAGAAATTAAGCATACGTTATGATGCATTCCCTTAAATAAGTTTTATTGGGAAAGTATACTTCAGAACTCAAGCAAATATTTTTTTTTAAAGAACATTGTATTGCTCTGTAGCATGCAATTTATACTAACAGATTCCACCCTAATGATTAGCACCCAAAACCTAGAATGAGAAGAATCAAAGTATCCCAGTAGCAGTGCAAGTTGATATCAGTCTAGGGTTTAAGCGAAGATTCAAGCGAAAGTCCTCAAAATCAGAAATAAATTCACATGAAGTTACTGTAAAGTCGACAAAATCATAAATAAAATAACAAAAGTTATCTACATTACAACAAAATTAACTAACTGGAAGAAATTAGCGAAGAAGAGGGTTGTACTTTGATCTTTGCGAAGCGCTCGACGCTTCTTAGGGTCAAGCCAGGTGGCGAGAGAGCGTTGCTGGGAAGCAAAGCTGTACATCTTGACACCATTGATGGAGGTCGACTTAAGTTCGTACGCCATGGAGCCACTGACTCAAAGGTTAGAGAGAGAGAGCTGCGCCTGCTTGCTTCTTATAGAAAAACAAATAATTCAAAATATAAAAAAATATATATATCTGAGGTTATTTCTTCTAGTAATCAAATAAATATGATACCAAAAAGAGATTTTCTATTTAAACCCCGCACTTCTCTTTGTTCACCTCAATACCTAAATCATTAAGCTGTAAGTTTTATTATTGTGTAAAAAGACAAAAAGATCATCCAACTTAATAATTAACCCTAGTACATTCATACATACACCCCACCACTCTTCATATTAAGTTTTAGAAAAATACAAACTTCTCTACATCCTATTGTCAGATTACTCTTCTCTTTTAAAGACATAGAAAATTAACGAGCCAACCTTTTTAAATATGCGTGGGAGTTGATGGAAAGGCTTGTTTATTATCAACTCAACAATACCAAAGTGTTGGAATTCCATTTACAGTTCTTGGAGAGAGGTAAAGTTGTTCTCTTTCTCTAGAAAGTATTAAATTTTAGGTTTAGGGTTCTATTTGTTTGTGTTTTTTTTTTGCTGGGACCAAAGAAAATTGTGGGGTTTAAATAGAAAATCTTTTTTATTTATTTATTTTTATTTTTTAGTTTGAGGTGTATTTAAGGGTAGTTTGGGAAGATAATTGGGTTTTCTTAGAAATTGTGAAAATTTAAATTAAAAGATGGGGTGAACTTAGAACATGGGGTGAACTGAGAGAGGTGTGGGGTTTAAATAGAAAATCTCTACCAAAAAAGTAATACAAAACTGAAAATACATATATATATATATATATTTACCTCTGGACTAAAAGAGAACAGAGAGAGTAAGAGAGAAGTTGTTTGGCAGTGGAGATTGAGGTGGTTGAGGTCGTTAGTGGCGGCGGCGGGTCGGAATAAAGAGAGGAGTCGTGGGTGGTGAGAGCTCAGAGAGAGGTTGCTGCTGGGTTTGGTGAGAGAGAGAGAGAGAGAGAGAGAGAGAGAGAGAGAGAGAGAGAGAGAGGGGCAGCAGAGAAGGCGGGTGGGTTTGGTTCAGAGGCCAGGGGCGTCGTGGGAACTGGGGGGGAGGGATGGGGCGGCTTGGGGATGTTGTTGTTGGG